CGCCTTTCACATATGCTTATGTAGGGGGTGTATTCCAACAGCTTTGGATCCACCTGAGGTCTCCTTAGCAACCCCAACATAGTGTAACTATGCACCTCAGTTTTCTATCTACGAAATAGGGATAATCATAGTATTTAGGGTTTTTGTGAGGAGTGAATAAGTTACTATATGTGAAAAGTTTAATGCAACTCCATAGTAAACACTACCACTTAATAAATGTAAACATGATACTGGCTTCATTCAGTGTTTCCTCCATGATTTGGCCTAGTTGTTTTTTAAGGCTTATTAATGTTAAAATGGTTGCTATCTAAAGTTCTTCATCAGTACATGATTTCAGACCAATAGATGGTTTTCTCAGTAATCCACATTGTTGTATATTAGAACACTCTACTGGAGTACTTTGTGTAGTTATAGTTCCTTTTATGTTTTACTTTGACAAGATACAGATTTATTTTTATGGGGTTCCTTTTCAGTGTTGCCAATGTTATACAGCAGGCTGGATGTCCAGTACCAGAGTACATAAAAGGTTTCCAGAAACTACTAAGGTATAATCTTGAATTTACCTTCTCTTTCTGTTTGCATATACACTGTTACTTTTTTGTTGTTTTTTTTGTTTTTTTGCTTTTTATTTATTTCATAATATAAGTATATATCTTCAAACAGTATATTGTTTAGTTTTAAGTGGTTTTGATCTTATACATAGATGCTCCTTGACTTATAGTGGGGTTACATCCTGATAAACCCACTATAAGTTGAAAAGATTGTAAGTCAAAAATGCGTTTAATCTACTCCCCTACTGAACATCATAGCTTAGCAACTCTTTAGCGTATCAGTTGTTTACCTCTGATTGAGTGGTTTACTGGGAGCTTTGGTTTCTGCTGCCACCAGCATTGCAAGAGAATATTGTACTGCATAGTGCTAGTCAGGAATAGTTAAAATTCAAAATATAGATTCTACTGAATGTGTGTCATTTTAGCATTATCATAAAGCTTTAAAAATTGCAAGTCAACCCATTCTTGTCAGGGATCTCCTGTAAATGGTGTCAAACTAGATATGTCCTTTTACTTTGTTTCTTGCTCAACATTCAGTTTTTTTATTGTGTGGGTTTTTTTAAAAATTAATTTTAATTGATCAATTA